CTTCCCCTCAGTTGCCCGCCGGTGGATTTTCCTCGTTCTCTCCCGTTTGAACCTCCCGCCTCCTCTCCTTGCCTTTCTTTCCCTCCTCCATTCTAACATCCAGTGCGTTGGCCAGTCCCAAGACTAGATTGCTCACCTTTTTTGTTTATCCAGTCGGGCATCGTGCAGGGCTTCCAGGCCTCTGGCACGCTGTATGCGACTGCATCGCATCAATTCCTGGCGTTTCTCATACAGCGACTCGAGCAGCCGCAACTCGGGATAGCCCGAGCTTGCGCGGATGACCTTGGTGCTGGTATCTACCAATTGTCTGCGCCTCCTGTCTTTTTGGGATGGTTCAGGCAGCGGAACAGTTCGCTGCGCTGTTCCTCAAGCCTGCAGCGTGCTTTCTGGTGCCGCTCGCTGGTACATGCAGCGACGACCTTGCCGAACAATACAGATTATGGCTCCGCCAGAAGGTGCCAGCGCGGTCAGCATTTCAGGTAACTGCGACCCTCTTGTGTTTGGGTCCCCGCCTCGGCCCTGCAGTCAACAGCGGTTCGCGGGCAGGTCCGCTTGCAAATCACGTACGTGGAGCTACGCAGATCGGCTCAGCTGCCGCTCCTGTTGCGGTGAACGCAGCAATGTACGCCAAGCGCGCTGTGCCTTTGTTTCGTCTGTTGCCCAATTTCGCAAGCTCCCGATGTCGTCGGCCTTGAGAAGAAAAGAACATGCTCTCCTTGCCGGAGTGTGCAGAACCCCTCAATGTGTCTTCCCAAGAGACGAGATGATCAGTCTGCGTGAATGGGAAGGACCACATCTACCCAACATTGAAGTGATGGCGATGGCCTCACTACTGCGCGCATCCCTCGTCACATTCAAATCAACGAAGCTGCGATCGAGCACCGTCCCCTCGCTCTCGTCCTCCGTGATGGCTCTTTCCCCCATTCTGGTGCGAATCCAGCTTAGTTGAGAACCAAACGGGGGTTGCCTCTGGTTTTCCCACGGACAAGCGAGTGCAAAGAGCAGCGACCCATGCTCTCCAGGACATCCAACCCTCTCTGTCTCTCCGCTCTGATGACGTTGTCTCCTCCTTTCCCTCGTCCCAAGATCCAGCGAGAACTGGTGGCCACGCTCAATCGCACCTTTGCTCCCGCGGATCTCGGTTGCATGTCTTCAGCCCGCCTTTTTAGCTGGTTCCCTGAGTTCCGGAGAGATATCCTCGGTATTGATTGGTCGCAGGTGCAATCGGCGTGCGCGAAATTAGCCCCTGCCCACGCTTCGGCATGCATCAAGAACCTTGCAGGAGCCTGGACGACCGAGGCGCGGTTCCAGGGACAATGTGCCCGCTGTTTCATGTATGCCTCTCCCCAAGCCCGTGACACCATCTCTCACTATCTTGTCTGTCCTTTTTTCCTTAGCCTTTGCGCCCGTCTTCTCAAAATCCCGCTTGCCTCTTCTCCCATTTCCCGTCTGTCACCGTTCAGAGTCTACACTTCCCTGTGTTTGTTCATCTAGTGTACAATCATGCAGCCCCGTTGTCCGTGAGGCCAGGACAGCCCCTCTCTGAGAGGCAAATTCAGGAACTAATGCCCCAGACGCGGGCTGCCTTCCAACGTCTAGCGTGAGGTGGACCAGCTGCACGACTCCTTTTCATGCCACGGGCCAGGAGGAAGAGGAGGAGGAGGAGGAGGCGAAGGAGGAGGAGGAGCAGGAGGAGGAGGAGGAGGGGGAGGAGGGGGAGGAGGAGGAGGAGGAGGAGGAGGAGGAGGAGGAGGAGGAGGAGGAGGAGGAGGAGGAGGAGGGAGGAGGAGGAGGAGGAGGAGGGTGCGTCGCCGGGCGTGCCGCAATTGTGGGGCCGATTCCCAACCCTAGCTCCCGGGCGCCCCGCGCCTCCCTCCAGGGACGCGCCTTGGGCCGAGGGGGGCCGCTGCTGCCCGCCCGCGCTGCGGCCATGGGGGCCCGGCAAAGGGGGGGGATCGGCGCCACCCCGACATACCTATACTATGTGTGCGACGCGCCCCCAGCGGCGACGCGCGCCCCGAGAAGTCTTATAGCGCATGCGTCGTGGCGGGTTCCTTCTGGCCGCGCCGTTCGGGAAACGATGCGCTACAACATGGGCGTGCTATATGTTCGGGTCGGACGCGCGCCTCCGAGGAGGACGTGTAGTGTTAGCATGTCCCTGGGCGCCCCGTAGGACACGGATGAACTTGGAGGCCCGGGATTGTCTGGCAATCGCAAGCGTGGACCAAGGGGGCGTGGATTAGCGACGGGCCACATTCCCATGGGACGTCGCGGGTTTCCGCTGCCGCGCGAGGCGGCACCGGCCGAGTTTTGGGGAGGGCACTTTCCCCGATCCATGGATGTGGCGACCGCGCGCCAAACCCATGGATCGCTAATCCATTCTTGCGCGCCCCAGAACATAGGCACTGACACCAACGCAAGGGGGTTGCCTCCACAGGGGGAAATTGATCCCAGATATTGGTGCTGCTGGTCATTTGTCGGTCACCTTGGCAGCCATAGT